AGACAATGACAGAAGATGGGAATGCCAATTTGTAGTCATGTCTGGAGTGTTTATAGAGGCAGTAGAGAGCCGCATGGCAGCACAAAACGTAAGATGAACATAATAAGTCCCCTGCACAATTAAAATAATCAGATAGTTTGGAAAGGACAAATAGGATGATACATTGATGCATTTTGGCTTTTAGACATAAGTTCATTTTGTAAGTTAAGACAAAAAAATAACAATCTCATTATCGAATTGTTCTGCTCTTTTATCTCTCTGGGGTTGAATAACTGATCTGCTAATGAGATCAGCCAGTTTTAATTAAATCACTGTTTTCCCAGAAAGTAATAAAAAATTAATGTCATCTGGGATTCTTGTCATTTATTAGCACAGAATCAGGAATGTTTGTTGATCAGAAACAGTTCATTACCTCTCAAGTTAATAACATAAAACAAAGCCTGTTCACCAAAGAAAGGTCTCGTTTTTACAGCATTTAAAATGATTCTTCCTCGTTCTCTCCTGACATGAGGCTGCTGCCTTCTGACACGTTGGATCTGAGCGACAGGATCCACTAAATGCCTTTGTCATCCATCTCCGCCAACACTTTGTGGGAGCTTTGGCAGGAGTTACAACTGGAAACTAATAATAGTTTTACAGCAGAGAAACGTGTCAGAAGCCTCATCTGATTTCATAAAACTTTAGTGAATAGTGGATGGAAATGGAAATGATGTCACATAATGTAGACTCACTGCAACAATAAGAAACTTCCAGTTCCAGATGCTCTGTTGACCATTTATTATAATGAAATAATGCATCTCCTCCTTGAACCGTCACCTTATCTTGGTGGAGGAGTTTGAGTGCCCTAATGATCCTAGGAGCAATGTTGTCTGGGGCACTTTGTGCCCCTGGTAGGGTCTCCCATGACAAATTGGTCTTAAGTGAAGGGTGAGACAAAGAACGGTTCAGATGATCTTTCATGGATGTACAATAAAAGAGTCAGAGTACCCGACCCAGAGGGTTACCGGGTCCCACCCTGGAGCCAGGCCCTGGGGTTGGGGCACGTGAGCGAGTGCCTGGTGGTCGGGCTTTCACCCATGGGACCCGGCCGGGCCCAGCCCGAACCGGATACATGGGCTCATCCAACTGTGGACCCACCACCCGCAGGAGGAACATGAAGGGTCCAGCGCAGTGCGGATCGGGTGGCAGACCGAGACTGGAGCCTTGGCGGTCCGATCCCCGGACAAGGAAACTGGATTTTGGGACATGGAATGTCACCTTGCTGGCAGGGAAGGAGCAGGAGCTTGTGGCAGAGGTTGAGTGGTACCGGCTAGATGTAGTCGGACTCACCTCGACATATAGCATTGGCTCTGGAACCCAAGTCCTTAAGAGGGGTCGGACACTCTCCTCTGCTGGAGTTGCTCCGGGTGAGAGGCGGAGGGCTGGGGTTGGCTTTTTGTTAGTCCCAAGACTCTCTGCCTGTGTGTTGGGGTTTACCCCGGGGGACGAGAGGGTTGCTTCCCTGCGCCTTTGGGTTGGGGAACAGGTCCTGACTGTTGTTTGTGCTCATGGGCCAAATATTAGTTCAGAGTACCCAGCCTTTTTGGAGTCCCTGGGACGAGTGCTAGATAGTGCTCCATCAGGGGACTCCATTGTCCTGCTGGGGGACTTCAATGCTCACGTGGGCAATAACAGCATGACCTGGAGGGGTGTGATTGGGAGGAACGACCCGCCTGATCTGAACTTGAGTGGTGTTTCATTATTGGACTTCTGTGCAAGCCGCAGTTTGGCCACGACAAACACCATGTTCGAACATAAGGATGCCCACCGGTACACTTGGTACCAGGGCAGCCTAGGTCGCAGGTTGATGATAGACTTTGTAGTCGTATCATCTGACCTGCGGCCGTATGTTTTGGAAACACCTGAGTGAAGAGAGGAGCGGAGCTGTCATCTGATCACCACCTGGTGGTGAGTTGGATCAGATGGCAGGGGAAGATGCCGCGTAGACCTGGCAGACCCAAACGTATAGTGAGGGTCTGCTGGAAACGCCTGGCAGAAGAACCTGTCAAGACGGTCGTCAACCCAAGAGCAGTGGGGGACATTGACTCTGAGTGGGTCTTGTTCCACTCTGTGATTGTTGAGGCGGCTGTTGCTAGCTGTGGTCGCAAGGTGGCTGGTGCCAGTCGTGATGGCAACCCCTGTACCCGCTGGTGGACACCAGAGGTTTGGGGAGCCGTCAGGCTGAAGAAGGAAGCCTACAGGGCGTGGCTGGTCTGTGGGTCTCCGGAGGCAGCAGACAGGAACCGGATAGTCAAGCGGGGTGCAGCAGTGGCAGTTGCCGAGGCAAAATCTCGGGCGTGGGAGGAGTTTGGTGAGGCCATGGAGAAAGACTATCGATCGGCTCCAAAGAGGTTCTGGCAAACTGTCCAGCGCCTCAGGAGAGGAAGGCAGCAACTCGCTCACACTGTTTACAGTGGGGAAGGGGAGCTGCTGACGTAAACTGGGGCTATAGTCGGACGGTGGAAGGGATACTTTGAGGAGCTCCTCAATCCCACCTACGCGCATTCCGAGGAGGAACCAGAGCCGGGAGACCTGGGGATGGACTGTCCAATCTCGGGGGCAGAAGTTGCTGAGGTAGTCGAACAACTCCACAGCGGCGGAGCCCCGGGGGCGGATGAGATTCGTCCTGGGTATCTCAAGGCTATGGATGCTGTAGGGCTGTCGTGGTTGATACGTCTCTGCAACATTGTGTGGTCATCGGGGGCGGTTCCTGTGGAGTGGCAGACCGGGGTGGTGGTCCCCATCTTTAAGAAGGGTGACCTGAGGGTGTGTTCCAACTATAGGGGGATCACACACCTCAGCCTCCCTGGAAAGGTCTACTCCAAGGTACTGGAGAGGAGAGTCCGATCGATAGTTGAATCTCAGATTGAGGAGGAGCAATGTGGTTTTCGTCCTGGCAGTGGAACTGTGGACCATCTCTACACCCTTGCAAGGGTGATGGAGTTTGCCCAACCAATCCACATGTGTTTTGTGGATTTGGAGAAGGCTTATGACTGTGTCCCCATGGGCACCCTGTGGGATACGCTCCAGGAGTATGGGGTGGGTGGCTTTCTGTTAAGGGCCATTCAGTCCCTTTAACAGAGGAGCGGGAGTTTGGTCCACATAGCCGGTAGTAAGTCGGATCTGTTCTCGGTGAGGGTTGGACTCCGCCAGGGCTGCCCTTTGTCACCAGTTCTGCTCATTACCTATATGGACAGAATTTCTAGGCGCAGCCGTGGTGTGGAGTGTGTCGAGTTTGGTGGCAGGAGAATCTCGTCTCTGCTTTCTGCGGATGATGTGGTCCTCCTAGCTTCATCCAGCTCTGACCTTCAGCTCTTGCTGGGTAGGTTCGTGGCCGAGTGTGAGGCAGCTGGGAAGAGGATCAGCACCTCCAAATCTGAGACCATGGTTCTTGACCGGAAAAGGGTGGCTTTCCAACTCCGGGTCGGGAGAGAGGTCCTACCTCAGGTGGAGGAGTTTAAGTATCTTGAGGTCTTGTTCACGAGTGAGGGTAGGAGGGATCGGGAGATCGACAGGCAGATTGGTTCGTAGTCTGCAGTGTTGCGGACGCTGAGCCGATCTGTCGTGGTGAAGAGGGAGCTGAGCCAGAAAGCCAGGCTCTCGATTTTCCGGTCGATCTACGTCCCAATCCTCACCTATGGTCATGAGCTTTGGGTAATGACCGAAAGAACGAGATCGCGGATACAAGCGGCCGAAATGAGTTTCCTCCGCAGGGTGGCCGGGCTCAGCCTTAGAGATAGGGTGAGAAGCTCAGACATTTGGGAGGGACTCGGAGTAGAACTGCTGCTCCTCCGGACCGAAAGGAGTCAGTTGAGGTGGTTTGGGCATCTGGTCAGGATACCTCCTGGACGCCTCCCTGGGGAGGTGTTTTGGGCATGTCCTACCAGCAGAGGTCCCCAGGTCGACCCAGGACACGTTGGAGAGGTTACATCTCCAATCTGGTCTGGGAACGCCTTGGGGTCCTGCCGGAGGAGCTGGTGGAGGTGGCCGGGGAGAGGACGGTCTGGAGCTCCCTAGTTGGGATGCTGCCCCTGCGACCCGGACCCGGATAAGTGGAGGAAGACGACGATGACGATATAATGCATCTATTGATAAAAAGAAAAACGATTGTGTGTGTGGTCATGTCAGGAGGATGTTTACACCACCAAGTCTCTGATTAACACCCAATAATGCAAACAAACAATTAGCAACTAATGACCAAAAACCATCAGAATAAACATGGTTGAATAATAATGCGCACTGTCAGAAGGTTACATTATTTCTCAGTTATTTAAAATCCACTTTAGGTGATAAATGCAGTTTAATCTTCCTGCTGACCCACCAGGGCAGAAAATATCGAGATAAAATATGAATTTATTCTAAGCTGATAGTGTCCAACTCACATTCGATGGCTGAAACCAGATATTCTCTTAAGTGTGAGCTTCCTGCAGCGAGCAGAGTTCATGGGAAACATTACTTTATTCTACAACCTACCATGTTAAAACTGCAAATGCGTTTACTTGTTGGAATTTCCCTTCCCAATATGGCCGACCTGCTGCTGCATGGGATGAGGCCATCAACATGGGGTCTAAATGCTTGTGTTTGAGTTCCTCTCTGCAGGTGAAACAACCAGAAACTGCCCCCAACACCGAAAGAAGAGTGTGAAATCTAAATGCTTGGTGCATTACACCTCTTGTTTCCCAGAATAACTAGTGGAGGCAGCTTTGAACAATTTATTTCTAATAAAAGCAGGAGGGAGGATGGAAACCTTTATATAACATAATGCTAATTATACTAAATAAAATCAACAGTGAGATTGGACACTTCCAAATTAAAACATGTGCTGTACGTTTATGAACATAAGGAATGTAGTTTGGCAGAAATCTGTTCATTCTTAGATTTTTTTCAAGGATTTTAAAAATCGTTTTGCACCGTGTCCTGTGTCATGGATTTGGGCTGATCTGATTGCTCTCTCTCTACAGGTTTAAAATGAACCAGGAACTTGAGACCAACTCCACGCTGCTCTATGACAACTGGACGTTCTACAACTCCTCTGTGGAGTTGGTTGTACCAAGGAACATCACCACCTACGTTGGATTTTACCTGCATCAGCCCACCACGGCGGCCATCTTCATCGTCTCCTACCTGCTGATCTTTCTGGTGTGCATGGTGGGAAATGGGGTGGTGTGCTTCATCGTGCTGAGGAGTAAAAACATGCGAACAGTCACTAACTTGTTCATCCTGAACCTGGCTGTAAGCGACCTGCTGGTGGGGATTTTCTGCATGCCCACCACACTCCTGGGACAACATCATCACAGGTGAGCAGGAGCATTTGTGATGCTGCTCAGGTGAAGAGTTGTTAGAATGCTGACTCAGCTTTAAAACTAACATTCTTGCTACTTATTACAAATATTTATTTTTAGATATCTTTACGTGTTGAAGATTTAGAGCGTAGGTCTGTTTTATGCGCTGTCCATGGTCCTGATCACTGAAAAACCAATCAGGAACTTAAGTGTGGTTGTTGCGTTTGCCTGAGTGTCCGTCATATCAGGGAATCAGCCTTTTTAACAGTAAAATCCTGAAACATCTGAAAACAGAAGGCTAAATGTGTCTGAGCACGTTCAGGAACTAAGTGGGCAGATTGCTTCCATGTTGCTGAAAGCAGGAGGTTCTATTTTTATGTGTTTGAGAAACTGGGCCCTTTGATTCTCATCAGTAAAAAAATAAGGGATAGAATGTAGAAAATTATTAAAAAACTGTTTGTGTGGATTCACATGTTTTGTTTTCAAGCTGCAGATATTCATCAACAACGGGGTAAAGGTTAGGGATGAGCCGGCTACTCGTTTCAGA